CGGCAGGGAAAATATAGTTGTGCGAGTTTTCCAACCAAAGAGTGTTGTTCCAAGAGTTCTTCATAGCCTTCAGTTCCTAACATAACTTGAGTCTTCTCTTTACTCACTGTTCCTGGAGACTCCTCTGGTTTGGATGCCGAACGCAAAGGGGAGTCTACCAAAGAGAAGAAAGGCTTGACCCCTTTGCAAACCGTCCAAAACGCCCGCTCTTCGGTATATCACGTTAAAGACTTCGTCGACAACAGTTTGTATTAAGAAAACTACAAGTTATTTGTTTACTTCTGGTCTTGAGTCTTCTACTTGCTTTCGGGTACTGGTTGGTACAAGTGATTGTTGGAGAGAGTTGAATGGCAAATTAAAAATTTTTATATAAAAGAACAAATTTAATTTTATATTTATATTTTTTATAATTTTTTTATTTTAATTTTTCACTATTAATATTCAAAAATTTTTTTTTTTTTTAATTTTAGGTTTTAAACTCTAAAATAATTTTATCAATATATTGTATATAAAATAAAACCTAAAAAAAAAAAATTAGCAAGAAAAAAACCAAAAAAAACCAATACTTATCTTATATAAAGCCTAGTTAACTTATTTTTAATAACAGTAAGTAGTGTTCGAAAACGGATTAAAAATCCTGATTAATCTGGGATTGATCCGAATCCGATCCGAATCCGTAATTCGGATTGAATCCGGGAGTGATTCGTGCCAATCCGGTTTGTCACATATATTTGTCACAATATAAGTGATAAATTCGAATTTATCACGTGACAAAAACGAATTTGTCACTTATATTATGCCACAAGGTGTGATATATTCGAATTTATTACATGACAAATTCAAATTTATCACATAGAGTGATTATATAAAGACATGACCTAAAATTAGGCCCAATCCTGCTCAATCCGGGCCCAATCCGACGTTTCAGGGGCCAAATCTAATCCGACGGTTTGGATCCGCACAAATCCGAATCCGATCCGTGCTGACTTTTTCGAACACTAACAATAAGTATATAAGAGTTACAAAAAAAATACTACTAAATACTATAGTACTATTAGTATTTGCTTTTTTATAATCAATTAAGTTAATCTTCAAATATATTTAAATCTTTATCACAATTTTTAAAAGAACAGAAATTATTATTGCTTTTTGTTTTGGCATTTTATCGTATTAAAAATTTAATATAATGTATCCTGTTACGGGTTTTAATTTAGTTTTATACTACATAATTTATTATATCTTACAAATGTTTGTAATATATACAACAATCATTTTAACGTATAAACAGCAACACATTTATTAACTATATATAATCGTTAGACTATTATTGAAAAGATTATTATGCTAGTCTTTATTGTCCGGAGCGTAGCGGAGGACGCTCAATTTCTATGCAAAGTGATACAAAAGTTACGTTTTTGATGCTTCAAAAGTATTGTTCCTGATGCATTCATAATAAGAATATCAAAAATGTAACTTTGAATTTTCTGTCTGTCTCTACTTGCATATTTGTGTAACACTACCAATCTCATGTGAGCAATCAAAATGGATAATCATCGGCCAATCAAATAGATTTTCCACTATGCTAATCAAAACGAACTTCCATTATGCAGATCAGGAGTGAATTTCTATCTATACAATAAAAATGTCTGAAGAGATCGAGGTTCAAACGTTTGAAGAAGACGAAGTTGAGGTAAATTATTTTATGCCTTTACGTCTTCTTATGTACATTTTATGTCTATAATTTGAGGGTACCTTAATCACTTCAATTTATGGGATCATGTAGTTTTTCGAATTCAAACAACTTAATAAAAATGCGCTAAGCGTACAACTCGCGAAGGACACCGTTTACCCAGAAGCAATACCACCTTATCCGTCTTTGCTTGTCATTTCCAATATATATGGTTTTTTTGTGGCGGCAACGAACAAAGGTAAAGTATGAAATTTTGATTCAATTTGATTATCATAGTGTGTGATTTATTAACAAACGTGTTATTTTGTATGTTTTATTAAAAAATTGCTCTGACTTTCGTGTTTTGATCGAATAGGCTTCATATACGCGTCTACAAAATCTTTACACGAATTATTTGAGCATTCTAACTCTGGTTCAAAGGAATTACTATCTCAACAAATTCATTTTGAAATATCTGAAGGCCATGTTCGATGTCTTAGACTTTCTTCTGATCAACTTACCTTAATTGTTGGTGTAGAAGGTGGTCGTGTATTGTTTTACGATGTTACAAAATTCGCTTCGGAGGTAATACATCTGAGCCTAACAGTATTACCCGTTCAATGCATTTATCGTTTAAATGAATTAATGTTATATGGTCTAAATATTTAAATAGCAAGCAGAAAGCAAACCCTTTCAAATAATGTCGTTTCCAGATGATGTTAAGGATATTCGTCCAAATCCTGGAGAAAAGCATAGCCTAATAGCCATCTTGCTTGTATCTGGCATAGTGTACATAAAAGATTATTTATTAAACAATGAAATTAGTAAAATAGAAGGCAATAAAGTTGGCGAACGGTTTACTGCCAGTAAGTGGTCGTTACGCAATGCAAGAGTGTAGAAGTTGTATCCGATCATTAGCTGTTTTTAATAAATATAGTAATACTTAAAAGAAATGAATATTATTAATGTATTTGGATACAAGCTCTACGCGAATTATTACCATGAAACAAAGATTTTTTTTTTAATTAACCAATTCGTCTTATAGTATGTTGGTCACAAAAAGGAAAACAGATAATTTGTGGTAATCATTTAGGACAGCTTATACAATTTACTCCAGAGGGAACATCTAAAGCCATTATTCAACCGCCTCCAGACTTACAACAACAGTCACATTGTGGTATACTTAAGTTTATTCTTGCATTATAGTCATTATGTTTTTTTCTCCTTTTCACATCTGGGTTTATGATTCAAAAGTCCAGAACGTCCTTTGGCCAGAAACTACTTTGCTTGTTGTGGCATATTTTCCGGTTATTCAAGAAGAGGATTCAGAACTTGAAATTTTTGTTATTTCGCGTGAAATAAAGTCAAAATTTCTTTACATGAAATGTCCATTAATATGTACCCAATCCGATCGCCCTAAACTTCCTTACCTATACATGGAAACCGTTAAAGATTGGTAATATACTAACAAATGTTTTAATTTTTTGAATCTTGAATTATTATATTTCAGCTATTTGTTAACTGTTCCAATTTAACAGGGGTACAAATTTGAAATGTCTTATTATTTGTGCAAGTGCTAATTCTGCAGACATAAATTTGATTGCACAAGATGCATCAAATAATTGGACTAGCTTGATTCTTTCAGAAACAAATAGGGCAGCACTTCCGCTATCAGAGATCCACGATTCTGATACTTTACCCGTTGGTCTAGCAATTGATTTCACTTGCACGGAACATTGGGTTACTCGGCTAACCGGTGATGAAGATACAGTAGTTCCACCGGTACCTCTACTGTATATTTTGAATGATGAATGTGACATAATCGCGTATCGTTGTTTTCATAAGGACGAAAATTTCTCTGGGATGGCGCCTCCCAAAGTGCTTCCTACTACAGGGCATTCATCAGAAGCGCTTCCTCCAAAGCAGGATTCTACAGCAATTGCACAGAATTGTACGGCTCCATCGCCTGCAGTTATACCTGTTAAAACAGAATCACCTATTATTGCTCCAATAAAAACAGCATCACCTATCGTTGTACCTATCAAAACAGCGTCGCCTGTAGTTGCCCCTATCAAAACAGCATCGCCTGTAGTTGCCCCCATCAAAACGGCATCACCCATTATTGCCCCTATCAAAACAGCGTCACCTATAGTCGCACCTATTAAAACAGCATCACCAATTATTGTTCCTACTAAAACGGAACCTTCAACTAGTAGTCTCGCATCAATCGCAAGTTATGATAAAAACTTTTTATCGCCAAAAAAAATTATATCATCACCTCCGGTTTATACACAATCCCGCAATTTGGGCTCAACCCAACAATTGACGTCCACTGAAACTGACTTGAAGACTCCTCACATGATTCGCTTGAATGCTACTGAAAATGAAATCAATGATGTATGTAGGAAGTGACATACATTGTCTTATTAATTTTAATATTGTCAAAAATTCATATACTATTGTATCTTTTTTTAGCTTCATAACCGAATAGAAGATATGGGAAATAATTATATAGCAAAATATCATGATCGAACAACTGAACAATATCTTGATAATCTCGATAGTCTCGAGACATTGTCGATCGGTGATTTGCCAATAATAACATCAGAAATAAATCGATTGGAGAACGAAGCTAGCTCTATGACTCAAGCTTTAGTCGATTTGCGGAATCAAGTTAATGAATACAGTCATGATGTCCGAATAGGTTATTATTATTATATCCTCGTTGAAGTGTCATTAAATGAATAAAACTTTTTTTTATTTAAACTTCATATAATTTAATTGAACAGATCTTGTCAAAACAAAAACAGATATTCAACACCTAATGTGCACACCTTCTAATATGATTAATGTTGGTCGTCGTGGGATATTACAATCTCGCATAAAAGAGAGGCTAGAAACTACTTTTAAGGTTGGATGCTACATCAATTTTCCAGCGTTTATTTCATATACCAACCTATATTTATGTTTGTAAAGACTGTTAAGGAAAGTGCGCAAGCTTTGGAGACACAACTAAATGCATTACATGAGCAAATTCAAGAGAAAAAATCTAACAAGTCAATAAGGCAAGTAATAATGAATATTTATATTTATGTAATTTTAATGGCTTACATCTATATTTTCTTTAAAATTAGGCAATCCCCTTTGGAATACATTGATAAATCAATTCGTAACATTAGCAAAGGCTTGTACCGTAATGCATCTCAAATTGAACAATTGAGCGCTCAATTAGACCAACTTACACTGCAGATATCTTCTGGAGACGATACTTCTAATCGTGAAACATTTGTATCTCACACAATCAATAGAACTGAGCCAAATAAGACATATACTAAAAATATTTCATATTCAGTTGATGCAGCGAAAGCAACCGCTGCTTACCTTAATAAAGAACGTATTTGCGAAAAGCTCAAAAATATAAATAAATTTAATAGAAAGGGTCCCGTCAAAAACAGTATTTTCGAAGAAAATGAAGATGGTAAATGCTTTTATTATTCCATTTAAAAAAAAAAAAAAAACCAAAAAAACTAAAATGGTCGTTTGTATAATTTGCAGAATTTATTGAAAGAAAATCTATGTCTCCAATAATAATTTCACCCAAAAAAAGTCCAAGTGCACTTAAGCCTCGTGCATTTTCTCCAACACAAATTCATCCAACTCATGAAAGCAAGCCGTATCGCTCACGCACAACGATTACGAGTCCTCTAAGAAAGAGCGTTTATCCTTCAGAGCCTTCTAGCGATTATCAATTTCAGCCTAAAGCAATGTATGATACGCCTATTAGGAGTAATATATCATATCAGACGGAAAATGTGGAAGACAGTACTGAGAAATACCAAGACTATGAGGACAGACGACCATTTCTTCACGACGATATATATTCTCTTCCCGAAAACCTGGGAATTCAAGAAACAGACCATGCAGCAGAAGTGTCATCAAGCATCAAATTCCAAGAACCTATCGAAATAGAGGCAGAGTCATCTCTATCATATGGCGATAAGACTGTGGAATCTGATGAGTTAAACTTGTATCGGGTGTCACCGAAATTTATACCTACATTTATCTCTAAGGATAGTGAGACAACACAGGAGTCATCAACGCTTGAAACGACACCTTCATATCAAGGTAAAGAAGAAGTACAATATTCTGATTCTTATCGGGATGAAACTCAAGATTCTGTTGAATCGAAAATTGTCGCGCCTGATGTATCCGGATTGTCAAAAGCTTCCGAACTTAAACAGGCCTATGACCATTTCGAGGAAGATTCCAAATCTGGAGCACTACAATTAGTGCCTGATACAATTGAAGAAGATAAAAATAGTAATGAATTAATGGGGGTCTCTGAAAATTTTGGTTCATTTGGGCTAGGTGAACCATCAGGAACAAATAATGCATCTGGTTCGCAAGGTAGTTTTGGTTTGTTTGGAGATAGGTCACTTATAAGTACTTCTACTAGCATTCCTCCTGCTTTTGGTAAGCAGACATTTGGTACAGCAACATCTGCTCCTATTGTGTTTGGAGCAGGATTACAACTTGGCGGTAACGCCACAGGTATTCCACCAGCTTTTGCAACACAACCTAGCAATGTAAATACATTTAGTTCATTATCTGCTAATTCTCCTCAAGCATTTGGACAACCATCGTTTGGTCAAACTGGCTTTGGACAATCATCACTTGGTGCACCTAAAGCACAAGCATTTGGGCAACCAGCATTTGGACAACCAGCATTTGGACAACATGGTTTTGGACAAACGCGGACGTTTGGAACTCCTTCCGCACTTTCCGCAAATTTGAAACCTCCAAGTGGTGGCGGATTTGCTCGGTTTGCAAGGTAATAATTTATTGATGCAATAATTTAAATTCACGACGTTATATAATTTTTCTCTTTTTTTTTGTTAGCAATAATGCATTTGGGAGTGTGAATAATGGGTAAGTTTCGTATTTGGGTTTAATCGTAAGGTTATTATTAGTATATTAAATTAGTTTTTATTTATTTATTTATTTAGTAATAATACTATTCTGGGTGCGAGTGGAAATAGTTTCGGCGGAACAAATACTTCTATCAAGTGAGTTTTACATTTAGATTTCCTGATAATCTCCTTGATTGCCTAATAATAACAATATTATTATTCAATAGTACTACTAAATCATCATTTACGGAGTTTCGTGGTTAAAGATGGACCGGTCCTCGAAATATTGAGACAAACCGATTTTAGAACTCAGTCCATAATCATTTGTCCCTATCTCAGATTATGATCTTTAGCTGATATGTAAACTAGTAAAAAAATTAATAATAATAAATAAATAATAGATTGCTTTTTATACCATTTTTTGTAATGAGCAGTAATGAATATTTCTCAAACTGTTGATGCATATGGCAATGCCAATATAATTGATTTTCAAAATAAAATAGGTGTTAAACTACAATGTCTGATAAAGGGCAAGAAATTATCGACCTAATCGTATTTATAAATCATGTGCAAGGGCTTATAAAAATTTGTGTTGTAGACTTTAATTGGTTTATGTGTAAATTTTGATATTAATTGATTACGTAGTAAATAATTATGATCAATTATGACATGACTTTGATAATGATTAGAAAACCGCGAAAATTTTTATTAATCGCTTAATCGCGATTAATCATATTAATCGTTTTACCATTTAATCATTTATTTAACCTCATAACTGACATATATAAAAATTTAGTAAAAATTTAAAAAGTGCACCTATGCACTCGGTGCATTCCTATAGAATAGTGCTCCTATCGAACCGGACCAGATCAAGCTTTTGTTTTGATTTTTGAACCGGATTCAAACTTTGAGTTTTAAACTTTTAATCAAGTTTGAGTTTGGTCCGGGTTGGATCCGGAGTTTGCAAACTAGTTTGAGTTCTAATATAAATAGATGTATTTTTGGTAAAATTTTTGAGAATTATAACATTTTATATGTTTTTTTTTTAATTCAGTGATTCTGCCTTTATTTTTTTTCTAATTCGGCTGTCCTGCCCTTGTTTATTTGGGATCAAGTTATTCAAAATTACAAGTAATTTATCTCTAACTACAGTA